GGAGATTTCCGACTGAAGCTTATGCTTATCTACCACTCTGAAAACCCCAGGGTGTTCAAGCAACAGAAAGTGGTAAGAACAAAGCTTGGAGTTTTTTGGAAGTCCAACCGTAAGGCATGGGTAACAAGACAGCTCTTTAATGAATGGGCTGTTGATGTGTTTTGCCCTTCTGTCAAGAGATACCTAACCACCAATAAACTCCCTTTAAAGGCTCTTCTCCTCATGAATAATGCTCCTGGTCATGACCCTGAACTTGCCAGAAATTTGGAGTATCAATTTGACTTTGTGAAAGTGTTGTTTTTGCCTCCAAACACTACATCAATCATAAAGCCAATGCGCCAGAATGTGATCAGCAACTTCAAGGAAGTTGTACATGAAGAAAATATTTAGGAGGTGTCATCAGGCAACTTCCAATGATCCTGAACTAACACTGAAACAGTTCTGGAAGACACAATTCAACATCCTGGAGGCTGTAAAATTAATTGTGTCATCATGGCAAGAAATCTCCACTAGATCCCTCAATTCTTCATGGTAAGCACTGTGGCCATCAGTAGTCCATGATTTTGAGGGATTTGAGTAAGAAACAGAGTTGGACCAGGAGATTGTGTCCATTGGTCAGTCATTGGGCCTTGAAGTGGAGGAGGAGGATGTGGAAGAGCTTGTGATGTCTCATGAGGAGGAACTTACTCCTGATGACTTGAAGCAACTGGATGACATGTTACAGGTAGAGGCTGACAGTGGTGAGGAGGAAATTGAAAGTGATGACCATATGTCACCTAAACAGTTGAAAGATGTGATTTACTACTGGGAGAAGTTCAGGAAACTGGCTTCAAAGCACCCAGAAGTGGAAAAAACTGAACTCACTTTGTGTCATGTTGAGGACTCAGTGGTCTCCTTCTTTAAACATAAGTTAATGGTGAGGAGAGATGCCCCACAGACCACAATTGACACTTTCTTCAGTAAAAGGCAGAAGGAACAAGATGCTATCCCTCAGCCTTCCACTTCAAGAAGGAGAGAGGATGTTCATGGTGGAGAATCTGTCAGTCCAGAGGTTCCTGACATTTTCATGGAAGGTGACTCACCTTCCAAGAAGCAGTAAAATGCTTCTCCTCCACCTGCACTTCCTTCTCTCCTCCCTTCTCCTCCACCTCCCACTTCAAGTTCACATCATCATCATCCAGGAGCTTTCTACAAACACACCTCAAAGTAAGTGAACTTTTCTACCTTTTTTGTTGAATTTAGGCAATTTTCGGTGAGCTGGAACCAATTACCCAAAAACCCATTGAAACAATGGTTTCGGTTAACGAGCAACCTGCTGGAACGGATTGTGCTCGTTAACCGAGGGACCACTGTATTTGCAATAGACATAACAATTTAAGTACCGTAATCATTTAGTACATGTACAGTACAGGTTTGCACTTAAATCCATTGTTAACCGAGGGACCACTGTATTGCAGTGTACTTGTACTGTACAATATTGACTAAATTCACTAGATAACGTACACGACTAATGGTTGGTAAAACTTGTCAAGTCTGTCAGTATGAGTGGCACGTGTGAGTGCTTGCGTCCCCTATCATAGGAGTCCGTTTTCTCTCGCTTCAGGACGCCCGAGTCCGTTTTCTCTTAATCCTAGAGTGCAGTGCACCAGAGACTTCGTTATTCCTTAGTAATGACACAGAATTTGAAATTGAAACCCCAGTTGCAACTGGGGTTGCAATTGTTGAGGCAACTAGATATGTCTGATTACAGCAATTGTGTTATTGTCAATTTGTAAGTGAAAGATTTTATCCTCAATAGATGTAGGTTAACATTACACCTGGAGGCAAATGCTTACTAAAGCCTAAGGAAGGCTATTCCTTTAACACATAATATCTGGCCAGTATGGGAAGGATCATCGTGTCTCCGCCGGGGAGTCGTGGAGTGGTGGTCCAGATAGTGATTAATTTGATCAGTTGATTAAGTGCAAAAGTAGCCCTGTTGTGAAATCATGTATCAAATAAATTAAAAATAAAAATTATAATGTAAAATGTTATAAGACAATGGTTTAGTAGTGCTGTTAATGTGTGGGCTGTGTAAGTGTCTTGGCATGTCACCTAACCACCTGACTTCTGAACAAACTCTACATTAACTTTTTCAAATCCTACAATGTGCTTGACAAGCTCAAAACACACACACCGGAATTAAGACAACAAGTATCCAGTGAGGGTCTTGTTGTGTGACTGCATGGAGGCGAATTAAAAGATCAGCTGTTGAGGAGCTTATCGCCTGGCAACCACTCCTTTCCACTCCATCTGTAATCACCCACACCTTTCTGCTTTCTCACTCCACATTTTAAAATGTTCTGTAATGTTGAAAGGATAAAATTTTGCTCATTTAAACTTACCACAATCTCCCTAAAAATGCTTTAGGTTTTGTGTTTATTCATGACATCTTCAGGTCATAAGACCCACTATCCCCTAACCAAGAAAGGGTGAGTTGATATTCCATCAGAAGGTCAGTAATATGAGACCAATAATCCCTCACTCTACCTCCACCTGACATTGAGTCAGATCAGGTCAGGTCCTCCCCAAAAAATACTTTCATCTTTATTCAAGACATTTTCAGAATATTCTCTCGTTTTTCAATCTCGGAAAATTTGTTCCTAAAGTTGGAAATTTTTGGAAAAGTCTGGCTTTGGGAATGATTTTCCTGGCAATTTTCAATTCCGGTGTAATGACCACAGTTGTGCATGTTAGTTAACGAAAAATGAGTCGATTCATATGACGCTCAATAGCCCACAAAACATGTAGCTATGCTCACTTTATTGAGTCCCCCATCTGAGGCGTCCGTTTTCTCATCACTTCAGGATCTCCGAGTCCTCCATTTTCCATCAATCTTAGAGTGCACCCGTGACTTCGTTATTCCTTAGTATAACTGCACAGAATTTGAAATTACAACTGTAGTTGTATATGTTGAGGCAACTTAGATATGTCTGATTACAGTTGGAACATTCAAGATCCATTGTGAGAGATGTTGAAAGCTTCAACTTTCTTTATTGTTAGAAAAACTAGTCAAGTAAATGAGTGTTGAGTCTGCTAGTATGAGTGGCTTGTCCTTATATCGTCCTTGGGGATAGCCCTGAGTTTCCAATTGCCACTGAAGTTAGATTATTTTGATGCCCAAACATCAGAGAATCTGATGTTTGTAGTTTAGTTAAGTGTCAGTTGTCTATTTAACAAAGTCATTAATCTCCTGAAAAGATTCTGTCAAACTCAAAATCTCCAAGACCTAACAGCTCCCTAGGAAGAATTCCTGACAAGCTCAATCTCTGATTAGATTACAGTGGTCCCTCGGTCAACGAATGCCTCGGTTAACGAATTACCTTCCATAAGAATCTTCAATTTGGTTAACGAAAAAACATTAATTAACGAAATCCTTACGAAAATCACGTTTTGTTTTGAACATCAGCTGATAAGCTGAGGAGGTACTCAGCCAATTCAGTAAACTCTTCTATGTTTACATTCATTTCCATTGGAGTAAATATCAAGACAATTTTGCTCTTTAATATTTGTGCATTTATTTATATAGAATTAAAATTATTGGTCATTCTAAAATTTAGCCATCCAAGCTGTCTACATTAAGTTTTTCAACTATTATTTTTGGCTCATATATGTAACGTTATTCATTTATTGAAACTCATTTACATGCACACACTGTCCTAAGGGCAAAGCTGAACTGTACATGTAATCAGAATAATGTACAAATGATTACTAAAATTTTTGTCTAGTGCAAACTATGGCATGTTTACATTCAAATTAATCACTATCTTATAAGAATTCCAGCAATGTAAATTAAATTCACCCCGGTCACTTCTATTAAATTTTATAAGCAAAAATAAAAAACTCAATCTAACTGCTGTAAATAAAACACGGTGGATAACAACGGACCACAATCATGCGCGCTGCCCACTTCCCCCATGCACCAGATGTTCCTGAGGTCACGAAGACAATTTTGTCTCTGGCCCAGCACGCTGGCTTCGATTAGGTCAAAGGAGGATATCACTTGAGCTTCTCTTCTCACACGAGGAGCTAAGTAATGAAAACCTGTTGGAGCTGGAGAAGCTGAAGGAGCAGGAAGCAGAGGAGTCACCACAGACCTTCTCTACCATAACTTTGGCCAACATTGAAAAAAGTCTGGGTGACATGCAGACCTGCAGCCAGACTGTCTCTGACCTGGACCCTGATGGGGAATGCAGCTTCAAGGTGAGGAATGGCCTGCAGGAATTATTCAGCTGCTACACAGAGCTTCACTGGCAGAAGAAGGAGCAAGCAAAGCATGACAAGGTACCAGATTTCCTTAGGCCTGTTCTTAAGTCTCACCCATATGAGCTTCAACCATCAACTTACTCTGACATCTGTCCCCTTTTCAGGAAGAAAAAGCATCAGCTAGCCCCTCAGCTAAAGTTTTCACCTGACTTTCAACAAGTCTCCACCTGCATTCACTGGTTTTGAGGACCCTGACAACCCTTCACCCAGTAAGATTACCCCAACCAGCATGTTCCTCCAGCCTTGGGGAAAAAATGCCGAATCAACAATTCAACACCGGTAAATACCTATAGCCGTCTCAATTTATGCTCAGCTTACATTATTTACTTATTGTTTATTATGATTGATTCATGTCTTATTTTTCTGCTTGCCAGTGTGCATGACAGAGATATGTCGAGGGTAGTTGGGAGATTCTGGGGGGTGGCTGGTCCCTAATCCCCTGAATTTATTGCGTTCTCATGGAATTTATTGCTTCGATAACCATTTATTCACTACCCAATGACTTCCTGGTCTCTACGAAATATGCTTGTAAATTATCCAGAATAATCGGGTACAATTTTTTTTTTATTCTCAAAATAATTAATCCTGATGGGTACAATCAGATTACAGAATTGGCCTAATGAAAGGGTTAAATAGGCACTATGTGTAATAATTTTCTTCATGAATGTTTACAAATGATTTAGAATGTGACTTAC